ACACAAGTTGGAGAACATCAATATTGTTTGTCTGTAAGTGTGTTTCCATCCAGCTGTTTTTATGTGCTTTTTCAATTTGGAAAAAAGTCAAAATATCACAAAAAAGTTTTTCAGTTGGCCGAGGTGGTAATGTTGATAAAAATGAAAAGCAACAAAGTGCAATGGAAACATGTTTGGCGAATAAATCATGGCGTACCTGAAGCATGTGACGTCCACTGAAGCTTCAGCTCCACTGGAGATATGAAAAATAGTGGCACTGCCAATATGTTTGCTTTCTAAATTTCTTAATAATTTGCTCTAAATTTGGATGGAAACTTGTCTTATGACAACGGTTTCCAACCTGGGATCATGAGATTAATCTAATGGGTCACAAGATGATGGCCCAGGTAGGAATTAAACTCCTTTCAGATTTCCAGAAATTATTCAAATGAAAAAATCTGACCAGGAGGAAATCACAGCTCAAAACTTATAGACATGGAACCTCTGACAAGATGAGGGGTCACAAGGACATATTGCTTCCTATTATGGGGTCACAAGCAAGAAAGGTTAGGAGCCACTGGTGTATGATATGAACTTCACTGGATGGTTGAAAAATGTTGAAACAGGGCAGGCATTTTCAGAAAAATACTTGGCAGGTGATTGGAGGAGCCATCTGTCAATCACCGTCTATCACAACAATTAACCACATTATGTAATCAAACTTTTACTGATGCCATTGAGAAAAAACCCTTCAGTGCTGTTCTTTGCTCTTTTTTCAGGGAAGCAATACACTCCAGTTCTAATGTAAGCAGTGTAATGCTAGCAGTATCTACGCTAACCTCTTTAGCAGCCGCCATTGTTGTCACTTTTCACACACAGCGGTAAACCACGCCCATAGCTCATGCCGTAGCTGCCAGTATTTCCCTGCTCACTGATCTGTATCCACTGTGGTTGGACACAAGTACATACCTTGAAGCTTGATTCCTGCCTGACTTCATGATTTTGTGATCTTGCGAGTCCAAGTTGCAATATTAGAATAACATCAAACTGTGAGATTTCTCAACCAGAAGGTCTTGACATGAAGACACATCAAAACACAAACACCACATTTCTAGATCATTCAAACTGTCAAAGGGGACAAACTGGCTGTAGATGTTCTGAAACATCTATACAGAAAGGAAAATGTTGTATGCTCTGGGTAAATGAACCCGCTAGCAAATACTAACTGCTATTTCACACACACATATTTGTGTTTGACATGTAATTCGGATCACTTGTGCATGCAAGAATCACCTCATTAATAATCTTTTAACACTGAAACAGGAAACAGAAATGAATAACACCCAATGGAGTGGAAGCAGAGACACATGCTGTCGATGTTTGAATTGCCATGTAGATTGTGTGTGTGTGTGTGTGTGTGTGTGTGTGTGTGTGTGTGTGTGTGTGTGTGTGTGTGTGTGTGTGTGCAGGTTCATGTCTCTGTTGGTCTACAGTATGTGTGTGGTGGATAAATGACTGCGTGTGTGAGTACACGAGTGTGTGTTGGTGGGATGGTTAGAAAGAGACAAGGGAGCACATATGGCCTGAACAGTCGGGGATGGAACTCAGAACTCCCACATGACATGGCAGATAAAAATAAAAATGCCAGAGAGAGAGACGCACACTGAGAGATGGAGAGAGAGAGAGAGAGAGAGAACTGAACTAGAGGCCTACTGCGACATTACATTGAATCAAACGTATGTACTTGTTAGGATAAGATTAAGTCCATTTGTGTGAATGTGTGTGTGCACGCCTATGACAATCCTTGGTGTTGACTTGGTGTTTGGGAAGAGGAGTGTCATGTACGGTTGTGTAAAAGTAACTGTGATTCACATTAGAAGCAATCATTAGTCACATGTTCACTGCATTGAAGGTCATATTTTCATGTGAAACTATCATTTAGATATTAGATCCTGAATATAAAAGACTGGAAACCAAGATTCATGGTTGTCATAACAAACACGCAGGACCTTACAAGTGCTCTCATTTGAAATTAAAAAAATCTTCTTATCTCTTATTTCCTTTTCTTTTTTTTGCTCCTCACTGTGGCAGGAGTATTTTTAACAGCTATTATTAAAGCACAATGGTCCTGTACTTCTCTTTATCATCTGGAACTGAAACTTATGGTAGTTGCACCTTTTCTCAGTCATGCTTGATAGAAAAGTTACCTAAATGCCCCACCATGTAAGCTGTGTAAGTCTGCCCTGTTGTATCTCTATAGTCTGTTGTTTAAATGCTTCAAATTAAAACTTAATTCTTTTTCTGTTGTTTCTTTTGCTGGAGTTTGAACACCTGTTGCCTCTTTGTTTGTTCCCAAGTTTTAGTTTAAAAAAAAAAACACAAGTAGTTTTGCCACTGGAGCTTGATCATTTGAATCTACTATATGAATATTTAAATATTTTAGTGAGCTGTTAATTTTATTTCATAAACAAAAGTTATACTCCATGGGTTTACTCTTATGGAAAAGGTATAAATGACAAAAATGTGTTTTATCTATGTGTTACTACATACTGACCTTTTTCACAGCAGCCATTTTGACATGAAATAGGAGGGTAATCACAGATGTTACCAATGATACTAAATAATGTTTTGGTCCATTTAGTGTAGCAGAGCCTTTCCAGTGAGCCAACATACAAAATAGCAGCACCTTGACTCTGTTTGACCTGAATGGAACTGAACCTTAGTTAGTGTCATTAGTAACACCTGTGTTTACCCTACTATTTTTTTGAATAATAAAATGGCTGCCGTGAAAAGGGCCTATTATTCAGTACTATGTATTGTGAACTTTACACTGAGCAGATGATGTATTATCATGAAACCATGCAATACACCCAAAGAATGCAATTCATGAGCAGGTCAATCAATAGCTTACATCACAGAAAGACTATCTACACTTAATAAATTTGATGTCATCACTATTAGTTACTACTTAAACTATTTCAACTACGATTCATCAGAACAGAAAAGTATAATTATACGCATAATGAATTCTGACATCCTGCCCTGTAACTTTTTTTGTGACTGTTCTTTCAAAACTGCGAGGATATTATCTAATTTCTGAGAAATTATCTCCATAAATATGGCCTGAGACGATGATTTGTGGTTGTGCGTCACATGCACACTGGAGCATGATGGGTTTCCGTTGTGCATTTTACTACAGGGTTTATAACACTTGGTGGTAGATATTGGTAGTGAACCTTCCAAACGCCACTGTTCTCCATCCATTTAAGAGTTGTAAAGGATTGTAACATAAAAAAACACACACATTCAAGCTGCCTCATCAACGTCTCATGAGCCAGCCTCATGAAAAAGAAATCCTGTAACGTTTGTGTGTGACGGGTTCATTAGTAGGTCCAGTACAGCAATGTTTTCTATAACCACTTCAACGCCCAGGTTTGACTCAGTCACTGTTCACACATGTTGCAATATGTTTTATTAATGCATGTTACACTTCACTGTGATTGTAGCTTATATGATTACATGTGACAAATAAACTTGATTGGTTGATGCAGGTCTGAAAGTTAACCCAAAATGTGTAAGAGTGTCCTAGTACTGTAGTGTTAATAAAACATGTATACATCATATCTCCTATCATATCATAGTAATGGTGTCCTGTTATACATTTAAATTTCATTTTGTGTCTATGGTAAACATTCTGCTGTTCATAGGGCTATTATTTTTAATAGTCACCTCATGAAAAGTTTATTCTTGTCTACATCACTGCCCTATTTCCAGGCCTGACCCCTCTGTGTTTTCATTATTTCATTTGTACTACTACTATTCTCTGTTATCAGGATAGTGCTTATCTCTGAATCTCTATCTCTTGCTTATGTGAATAACATTGCCCTGTGCATGCCTCTCTGTATAACACTATCTTTATGTTAATATAATTGGGATAATTTGAAAAACAGGTTCATCATTGTATACTAGACCCCTGTGAGAAACATGGTAATGTAGTGACGAGCTACCATGAGCTAGGTATTTGCTAGCTACCGAGCTAGCTGACACATTTACACCAAAGGCAAACAGATATTTGTTTGTGCCGGACTGCTAACTCGGCGTAAAGGGAGTGTAACCTATGAGTATAACACAGGACAGGTCGGACGTGGGACCAGCCCGGTCCTCTCCGGGATACACTGCAGATTCCAGTCCGGGTTTTCTGAGTGTCCATCAGCGGGCTCCTCACAGCCTCTAGCTGGTTTTTACTCAACTCCTGTCCTGATATCACTCCGCTGGCATGGTGGAGAAGCGGACCTGAGTATTGTGATGGTGGCAGGCGGCAGCCAGTGACTACAGACTTCCGCCACTGCTTCCCATATCCGCGTTTTGCGCCGTCTGGGCTACCACCGGACTACCGAGGGCGCTTGTGCTCTTTTCCCCCCAACTCAGCAACATCTTCACCGGGATTTCTTTCAAACCAAAACCATATGAGATGCAAGTTCACTGGGAAACTCCGGAGCCCGTTCGGTTCAGGCAGCAAAACTTTTTCTCAAAGGACAACACGGTGAGACGGCGAGTGGACTGTTGCTGCCGCTGCTGCCCCTCCGCGGGACGGTTTGTGTGTGTACGACCGTAGAGAGCCTGCTTACGTCCATACCATACTTCACCGTATTGTGTGTGTTTTCTCTGCGGAGTTGTTGTTTGCAGCGTGGCAGCGGCTTTATTGTTGAATTCAGTTTGGGGCTTCACTCGGGCTGGGTGTTATTGGTGTTTTCGGGAGCGGTTTGTTTGGAAACAGTGCCGAGGAGGGAAGAAGAAGAAACGGTCACTCTCGAGCCCTAAACCATATGACTGCTCGGCTCGCAGCCCTTTAAACCTCCCCGGTTGGTGCTCGCTTGTCGGCCGTACCTTCCGTCCGCTGCTGCCCGGCTGCTTGGGACCTTTCGCCGGGGAAGGCAGAGAGGTAGAGGACACTAGGTAGGCGGAGGTGGAGGAGGAGGTGGCCGGAGGAGGAGGAGGTGGCGGCGGTGGCGGTGAGCTTGACGGGGAGAAAAGTTCTTCCAAAATAGCAGCCACTCGGCGCAGTGATGGGGGACTTCGCCTCCCCCGCTGCCGGACCCAACGGCAGTATCTGCATCAACAACAGCATGAACCCGGCCGCCGGGAGCGTGGTGCCCGCCGGGGCGGTGGGCATACCTAAGCACAGCACGGTGGTGGAGAGGCTGAGGCAGCGGATAGAGGGCTGCCGGAGACACCACGTAAACTGCGAGAGCAGGTACCAGCAAGCCCACGCCGAGCAGCTGGAGATAGAGCGGAGGGAGACGGTCAGCCTGTACCAGCGGAGTCTGGAGCAGAGGGCCAAGAAGTCGGCCGGCGGCGGCGGTAGCAGCAAGCAGCCGCAGAGCAAGCAGCCGGACCCGGACTCTGCCTCCTCCACGGAACAGAGGAATAACACGCTTATAGCGGTAAGGACGAGCTCTCAATCATGGCCAAGACTGCCTTGAGACCCCCTCACTCACACACAAACACAGCACACACTTAAGTATACACTCTCTCTTTCATTTCCCCTCCATCTCTCTGTCCCCTAATAGTCTTGGACCCCCATCAGGCTGCGAGCTGCACTACTACTACTACTACTTGTTCACCACAGTGAAAACTTGTTGAAAACACGTTCACTGAGCGCTGGCAATTTCTTTGGAAACACATACTTCACTTTTTCAAACCAGAGTGCCAACTAGTGCTTTTGTTTACAAAGAAACGCAGCCCGTCGCTGAAGAAAACAGGCTGCTAGGGCTTGAATGCTGCAGGATTTGGATATGACAAGCGTGACAGCTCATATTTGATCTTTTGCAAGATCAGTGCTGCTTCATGCTCAAAGGAAGGTTGAAAGTTTGGAAGGCACTGCTAATTGTCAAGTTATGATTTCCACCTCAGGAACTTTTAACTAACTTCTGGAGGATGGCTGCTTTTTTTTTTTTTTTTTTTGCATGAAAACAACTTCTCCTTTCTTGTTCTTTGTTTTGGGTGCAGATTGTTCTGCAAGACAGGCAGCATTAACGTTGCAACATTGCTTCCTTGCTCTTAGCAGGAGTAGCAGTTTATGCTTCAGTCTGTTCTGCAACCTTTGTAACACACTCTCAAAATCAACAGTCACAGTTGTTGCAAACACCTAATCACAGCCACCTCCTCCCTGCCATCCGACTTGAAAATGACTTTAGGTGGCTTTAGTTAGTGACATTTTTTTTAAAACTGTAAGTAACTTGGAGATTCATTCATAATTAATTCTGGAGCTTCATACAAAATAATACAGTGGTTTTACAAATAGGCTTCTACCACAAAACTGCATGTTATTGTAAAATGAATGCAGTGATGCTTTAGGAATATATACATACTGTAAGTGCAATAGAGACAGTATAAACTGTGGATTTTGTAGGAATGCTACAGTGATTTCCTGTTGGTAGGGGGCAGTGGTAACATAGAGTATTGTTGAGTTTCTTGTGGCTGTCTTATGAGGATCTCGGTTTGGAGGCTTTTCTTTATTGATGAGCAGGTCTGCAGATGATCAGATTTAGTCATTTACAAAATCAAACGTCCTTATGTTTGGCTGCTGTCGCGTGCATGACAGAGATGGAGCCTGCAAACTGTGTAGTTTCCCCATGTTCACACCACATCTCCTGCGGGCAAGCCCCGGTTTCCCTCAAAAAACACCAAAGGATACATGTCGGGAATGTCAACATTGTTACCCCTTTTGTTGCTGCAATGAGCCCAGTTCCTCCCCTTTTCAAATGCAAAATCAGAACGTCTTTAATTTCTGAGACAACCCCAGCCGTTATTTAAGAGCCACGCAAGCCTGACCAGCTACAGCTTTAGAGAGCAGCAGTGATTTTAATAGTGTAGGACCTCCCAGCGGTCCTTGTGGACATTAAACCGAACCGCCCATTAGATGGCCGGCAACAAATGCTCAGAGAATGGAGGGATTACTGCTTAAAGACACAGTGGCATCCCTCAGCTCTGTCCCTCTCTGCTCCCCTCCGAGTCACTGGTGGTGACACCTAAAATGCAAACACACAGCATTCAATAGCTAAATTACAGTGAGCTCGGTGTCACTACCCTTTTTATGCTACATTGTAAGTGCTTGGCATTGTTTAGGCATGGATTGTTAAGGAGATGAAAGGAAATGAGAGAAAAGTCTGCCATTACTCTCCTGTTTTTCCTCCTGAAAAACAGAGCTGCAGCTAGATGGCTGTATGTAGTCACTGCAGAAGCAAGCATTCTAGGAAAGCCAAGTATGCTGTTAATGTAACTACACACATCGCATGCACAAATACTCAGAGGGCCTTTATCTGTGGGGTTATGTTATAGAGTGTTCTTGGAAATATACTGTGTTGAGGTGGAGTGTTTGAAGGCAGTTTCCCCTACACCTGAATGAGGAGTACAGTGGCAAACATGCTCATATCATGATTAATTGCATATGAAGACCTCACAATATAAGGCTAAAATGACTGTTTGGCTGTGGAAGTGTGTGTGTGGTTTCTGGTGGGTTTGCAGTGTCAATATGGTAATTGTCAGTTTTGAGAATGTCAGGAATGTCTACAATGTACAAAAATCAAATCGATAAAATATGTGAAAATCAGTGTGTGTCTTAGAGATAGAAGCAGCGAGACATTGGTTATCCAGTTATGGCCAATTATAGTTATAAATGGGAATGACTTAATTCCAGGGTTCACACTGTCTTAGTGTGATATTCTTGAGAATTTTGTATTGTCATGTGAATCCCAGTACTGTGCTTTGGTCTAATGGTTCTCAGACACACCCACGTCGTGGCAGGGGCAAGCCTATAATTATGGAAAGTGTGTGTTTGTGTTTATAGGCTAACTATTAGTGAGAAAGGAAAAGAAGACACTGGGAGCCTGTTCTGTCTTTCCCACCATTTCTTTGACACCATTCAAGGAGTATAGTAGCAAACTACAGTCAAAACAGACAAAGCAGCAGCTACGGGTCCTGGGATGTGACATTCCAAGTGTAACCCACACGTAGCCAGAAAGTGAAGTCGGAAACAGTCATTGGTCGAATATTTTGTTGATATTCACTTTCACAAGATGGACACTTCCAAACTTGGATTTGTCTGGTAATGAGGGGGTCGCTTGTGAAACAACAGGCCCCCTTTCTGCTTTCTTTTTTTCAGCAACCACGTATCACACTGCACTGACGCCGGGATAGTCAAGTATTCATTTACATATTAAAATCTTCTGCACTCTTGATGCTATATATACTCTGGATTAGTTGTCCTCCAAGTGCTGTAAGTTATGGTAATGGCGAGACAGACTGTGTCCAACTTGCAGGCACATTGTAAAAGCAGATAATTATAGTTCCTTGGGGGATACTGAAGGTGTGTTTTTAGATTGCTGTCCATTGCGCTTGCAGACACACACACACACACCTCATATTTATAAATTAGTCTTCACCACTGGCTTCCACGACATTGTGGTGTCAGTTCTCTCTGTCACTATCAGTGGTTACGCATCTAAAATATATTCACGTCAATAAAGGTACATCTTAACAACACCGTCAGGTCAAAATATACAGCAGGGTGGACACACATGTGCATGCGTCTGTTTTAACTACATTGGGTGTCTGTAAACGGACGTGTTTATGCCTGTGCAGTCAGTGCGTACAGTCCGCGTGGCCATAAACTGCACATGGATGTATGCACAGAGGTCCATGCAGACCCTTGCGGATATAGAGGCAGATGACAAAATATGCGTCACGTAGGCCTTAGTGGGTATGTGACGCTGACCTGCAGATCAAAACGCTTGCCGTAGGTATTTACAGGACTCTCAATAACCACTTATATCAAGTTTTAAGCTTAACCATTCCATGGATTTTAAACTGAGATCAATTAGTGGAGAGGAAACTCTTTGGTATTCATGTGATATTGATAGATGAATGCTTTTTTAAAATTTGCAAGTTGTTTCTTTAAAATATGAATACAGCAAGGCCAATGTTTGTGCACTGATAGGTTTGTTGGGTCACAGGAGAGAGCACTTTCAATCATGACTCTCATGGTCGGTGGTCCGATCTCAAATGGACTGGACCACTCAGTCATTACAACACCAGAACATCAGAAATAAACTAAGAACTCATTCTTAAGAAGACTTGTACTGTTAGATATCAATAAACCAAAGTCGATTCACACATGCTCTGCTACCCTGAACTTTTATTCGGATGAGCTGAAGCCCATGTGTGAAACGTCCAAATCAGTTGGACCGGACATTAAACATATTTTACCCTGCCAGCGTCCTAGTACAAAGTCTGTGTAATGTGGAGTGAGTGGGGTGTTCCCGATGTTGATGGCGTTGCATGGAGTGCAGCTGCTTCGTGCTCTTCTCAGTGTGCCTGTATATTGCTTTCCACTCACTCTTGTTGATATTGCAGATACATCCAAATACATGTAGGATTGATATCAATGCAAAAAAGTCATTATTTCGGTGGAGTCCTCCTCTTGATCGATTGGCAGAAATGGAATATGATATTTAAACCTTATGGACAAAATCTTGATTCTAAAAACAAAAATTTCACATTGACTCTAAGTGAGTGACACCAAAATATGACATTTGTTAAACTTTCTATCGCTGACAAGAGGCCTGCTGTCAAACTTTGTTTTATATCCAATATCTTAACATGATGTGACGTTTTGACTTCTGGCTAGTTATCTAAAGGCACAGACAAACAACAGAACAGATTCACCAGTAGCTGTCATGATTTCACTATTTTGTAAGTGTTTTTGTAAGCAGGCAGGATTCTTTGTTGAGATCCTGATGGAAGCGTGCAGGCTGCTGTGAACATCAAACCCGTGACCTTTGAGTCACATGCACGTGTCTCCGAACCGACGGGCCACGATGTAGCTTAAGAACTGAATTGTGACCTGTACTTTTTGACAAAACCCCCAGTCAGATCTGATTACCTAATAGCTAACAAGTTTACAGCTGCGAGGCCGAGGTGCACAGTGAGGGGCTCGTTAGTTCCACTAAAACACAGTAGTTCAGGACAGTCTGTCTTCAGCTCTGCTCGCTCCTTGGCATCCACCTCGCTGAGGAATGTCTCACACACACACACACACACACACACACAACACACACACACACACACACACACACACACACACACACACACACACACACACACACACACACACACACACACACACACACACACACTGTTGTCCTGCTCAACTCTTGGCAGCAGAGGCCGGAGTGTGGGCGGCTGAGTTTTCATGAATCCGAGGCCTTCCCTCTCTCTCCCCCTTCCTCTCCTCCCTCTCTCCCTCCCTCCCTCCCTCCCTCCCTCTGTTCACCACTTCTCTGGTTTCAGCATTAGCACAGCGCTTATGTAGTGTAGATGGGTCGTGGTGGCTATAGCATTGTTAATGTCAGCTGGGACTGTTGCCTAAGTGCTATATTTAAAC